ATAACGGAATAAAAAAAAAAAAAAGAAAAGGCAATTTGCATGAGTCAACGCACAGACTCCAAACCGGTCACTTATGAAGTAGACAGTTATCTATGTAGGTAGTTTACAGCAAGTTATACACTAAGGCTTTTGCCTACATGAAAGGTCCTGGTTTCACTTAAACAGCACTAATGAGTTAATAATGTGTCTGAGATGAGGATACGACATTTGCTAGCACCCATGTTCAAACGAACCCGCTGTTTTGGATACCATCTCTAGCGTTAACCCTCAAACTGATGATGTCATTCCACAAACAGGTCATATGAGTACATCCTCGAATGGATGGCCAACCTGCAAGACTGCCCTCCCTGAATAAATTTCCAGAATATATAATATCATACGCTACTATGTTAAAACCAACATGAGTGAGTCAGTCAACATTTCCTGAACTCAAGGGTCTGTACTGGCAGTCCTGATCAATACTGGAGAATAGCTGTGGACTGTGGTGTGACGGCACTGAGACGGTCCACTAAGTCCTTTCCTTCCCTCAAAATGAGATGACATACTTGCGGTTACTTTCAGTTTTGCAGAAAGCACGACCACAGTAATGGAGCAAACTCCCTAATAAGTGAAGACCCCGTCCAAATGTTGTCAAAACAAATACTAGAAAAATAACAAGAATGCTGGAGCTCTTTGTGTCCTTAGAAACAACAGCTGTGTTTAGAATAAAATTCTAATATTGATAATAGCTAACTACTAATAGCAAGGCTCAAAATTGTGACCATTTTGGTCGCATATGCTCCCGAAATTTAATCTGTGTGACCTCAAAATATATTTGGGAGCATTTGTGCGAGTGCATATAATTGTTGTCATGCGACCTGTTTTCATATCTCTAAAAACGATCAGAGTATGTGCCTTCTGAGTGCTGATACGTTGACCGGTCTGTCATTCTATCAAACGTTACATAACCAATTAAACTTCAGCTTTACATTCTTAACTTTAATGCAGATTTTAGATTGGTTAATATTAGCTGTCAATCACTCAGCTCTCTGCTTTCCGCTGTCAGGTGACAGGGAGCTAACTACTGCAGGGAATGTAAAGGGCTGAAGAAGAGAGAAAATGAAAAGAACATTGACAGATTTCTTTTGTAAACCACCTAAAGTTACAAATAATGGTGCTGGTGATAGCGATCATGTGGTGAATGTTGATCCACCAGCCGAAAAGAAGGCGTACAGTTTTCGGAGAGAATGGTTGAAAGACTTCGAGTGGCTTCGCTATGAAAATGCACTGTGCTCTATGCACTGCATTCACTGTAAAGCCTGTGGGACAGAGTTTGCAGGTAACAGCGTTCACCACTGAATCTACACATTTCGTAATTGTGGTTTTACGATGTGCGGTTTGACATTATCGAGTATATTTCAAAATCCAAACAAAACGTGCACGCATACATGACGTGATGAAGTCTAGCCAACAAAAATAATTCCAAACTAGGTCACAGCTCTGTTTTGCGTCTCTAAGCAACATGACGGTGTCTTGTTCCTGAATCAATCAACCATTTAAATGATTCGGTTCAATTGCAATGACTCACTTGTTAACAGTGACTTGCTGCCACCTACTGGCGGTTTTAATTTCACATTTAAAGTTTCAAACATTTTAAATATCAGTATTCAACGTTTTATGTTTACAATATTAAAATATTATTTATGCATGTGTAACTGCAGGCTAAATGCATTCATGTCCTGCATTAATCAGTGTCTAAATGCATCTAAATGCCATTTCAGATGCAGCTGCTGTGTTTCCTCTGCATTGCAAAGATGAATTTTGTTGATTAATACTTTCATTTGCTTGATAACAGCCCAAATGTCTTATTATAATTGACTGATTAAATATAAGAATTTGACTCAAATGATAATGCACACTTTTTTAAAAAAATGGCTTTAAGGTAAAAATGACCATAAAAGGTAAAAATTAATTTGAACTTATTGGAAAAGATTAATTTCTGTCACTGCTGTGAACTGACCACCACACAGTATATGAAGAATATCAAAAACTTTAGGAGTCAGCTGTCCACTGTAGTCCTTAAGATATCAGCACAGTAACACTGTCACAAATTATCGTTATCGATAAAATCCCAGAAAATATAGAGATATAATTTGTCAATATCGCACACCCCTATCCACCCCTAACCTGTTCCGTGTAATTGGCAGAGCTGAATGTAAAGTTTAACACCGCATATACCATCCTAACTCTCGCAAAGAAGAGCTCTCTCTCTGTTTAACCAAACTCAGATTAACTTTAGGTTGTTTACAAAAGAAATCTGTCAGTGTTCTTTTCATTTTCTCTCTTCTTCAGCCCTTTCTTTTTCTCGCGGTAGTTAGCGGAAAGCAGTGACTGAGAGATTGACAGCTAATATTAACCAATACAAAATCTGCATTAAAGTTAAGAATGTAAGGATAAAATCTGTTAATATATAATTTGTAGTTGTGGTGCTCCTAAATTTTTGCTGGTGCTCCTAAATTTTGAAGTTTAAAAAAAGTTCATTTCGAGCCCTGAATAGTACTACTAGCTTACTATGCTGTACAAACAAATTAAATTAAAATAAAATATATATTTTCACATAATACTAATAAAAATAATCAATTATTATAAAATATTAAAATGATAAATATGAAAATATTTATATTTTATTAAAAATATCTTCCTTTCATCAAAACTACTACTACTAATAATTATATTATTAATATATTTTTGTATCACTTTTCCACAAATCTATTAATAATTTTTTTGTAAAATAATAATAATTATGATTAGTGAAAATATTTATCTTCTGCAAAATAACAACTATTAATATTCTCACTTAATAACAATAATAAAATATTACATTATATTTTTTTGTAAAATATTTTTATAAAATAATAATAATCAACATTTATTATTATTATTATTATTATTATAGTAATTTAATAATAGTGATGATAATCTATTTTTTTGCTAAATATTGCTATTAATAATTCAAAATGTTTTCATAGTAATGAACAAAAATATTTATTTTTGTCAATTTATTATTATTATTACTTTATTATTATTATTAAGTATCTTTTGTAAAATAACATCAATAATAAATCATTTTTGTGTCTTATTATAATAATATTCCATTACATTGTTTTTGCAAAATAGTGGTAATAGTGGTAATATAATAAAATTATTTTTTTGTAAAATATTTTTATAAAATAATAATAATCACCATTTATTATTATTATTATTATTATTATAGTAATTTAATAATAGTGATGATAATCTATTTTTTTGCTAAATATTGCTATTAATAATTCAAAATGTTTTCATAGTAATGAACAAAAATATTTATTTTTGTCAATTTATTATTATTATTACTTTATTATTATTATTAAGTATCTTTTGTAAAATAACATCAATAATAAATCATTTTTGTGTCTTATTATAATAATATTCCATTACATTGTTTTTGCAAAATAGTGGTAATAGTGGTAATATTACTTAAATAAAAAGATATTAAAAAAAATAATAAAAAATGTCTTAACCACAGGTATATAAACAAATTTTTAGACAAATCAAGTTTCATTTGTCACACTGCAAAAGGAAAGTCAAGTGCATTGCTTTCTGGAATACAGTAGTCTGTGCAGTGCATAATATTTCATACTGCATGTTTAGGCAAATAGAGAACATCTACCAAGTATTCTGTGTAAAAAGTAAGTATAATAAACATAGCCAAAATAGGCATGAAAATCTTCAGGACGGGAGGCTGGTAGGATCTACTTGCAATTCATCACGGGGAGTGGAGAAGAGGTCCCTCGGCTGGGATGGAGGCAGCATAACCTTTTGCACTGTCACCTCCTCCCCTCCCCTCCCCTCCTCCTCTCTACATGGTCCTCCCCTCCGTGCCCCCTTCTTTCTCCCTTGAGTAGGCCTCCCAATGGATCCATTCTCTCTCTGTGTGTGCCAGGGTGAAGGGGACAGACTACTTTCTCTGCTCTGCTCTTTCCCACACAAGCTCGGACAAAGGGATTTAAAGCGACAGTGTACCACGTTTGCTCCGTTGTCAGTGTTAACCTGGTTACCCCCGAGTCAAAGGTTAGAGGTTGCGATGGTCAGAGGTGTCACTTGGTTGCACATAAATGTCCATCATCCAGTTACGTCTGATCTAGAGCACTCATTTCAAGTGGTTAAATTAAGAAAATGCCTCCCTTCTGTTTTTCCTTTTTTTTTTAAAGTTTACTAGAGGACCTCATCCACAAAGAATTCAAAATATTGACCACCTATTAATATAAAATTAATATAGAATAAAAAAATTATGTATATATGCATGTATATACATTTATATATCTTTACGTTTAAGGGTTTTTCTATCTAATCTAATCTATCTATCTATGTTATATATACACTACTAGGCAAAATTTTAGAATAATACATTTTTATATTTTTGAATCATACGAGACTTCTTTGAGAAACATTAAAAATATACATATATATTACACACTGTTATTTTTATTATAGTTAAAAGTTTTCGTTTATTTTAACTAAGAAATTTGTTTTTTTACCTGCTGGCTGTTAAAACGAGCATAAATCCCATAAACCAGAATATTATTGAAACTTGAGGGGGAGAATGGTTTTAATGAAAAGCATGACCGCATGCTTATTCTGTGTGAGATACTTACCTTCACCACCGTGTGAATGTCCATGTCCTCCATGTTGAAAAATAAATATTCCTACAAGATTCACCAGCAGCCCTGCTATAGACACCGGGAGCAAACGGTCATGGTGCACATCAGGGGGTTCCAGCGCCCTCTGGTGATAAGACAAGACGCCATCATTCAACAAAAAGATATTAGTCAGTATGTCACTTACAGACTGAAAGATATTATCAGAATGTCACTTGGCAAGTAAATCAACTGCAATCTTATACTACTGCACACCTCTACTCCTTCTGAGAAGATAAAGAAGGCGGTAAAGATGAGGAAAAGGCCATTCACGAATCCTGCGAGCACTTCTGCTCTGACATACCTACAAAACAATCAAATGGACTTGCATAACAACCCAGTGATGAAACCAAAGACATGCAGTTTCCTGTCAACACCACTCAGGCAGAAGTGAATGTGTCCTTTTTAGGAATCTTGTGTCACTGGTACTCTTGGTACTGTAGTGTTCTCTCACCCATATGAGAAGGAGTCATTGGACCTCCACCGTGAAATGACCGATGCTGCAAGGCCTGCCAGGAGAGCGGTGCAGTCAAAGAACATGTGAAAGGAATCGGATATCAAACCTAAACTGAGAATCAAACCAACACAAAAAGGGAAGTGTTAAATTATCACGAAACCTGAGAAATACATCCCACCCCATACTGAGGTCAGAGTCACCTTTTGTTACACATTATTCACTCTTTCACTTAGAGACAAAATTAAAACAGTCTAAAAGGTCCAATCGTGTTGACAGATATTTGGTCGTCAAGTTAGTTTCAAGTGGGTCAAACTACGCAACATAAAATACATTTAAACATTTAAAAATATATTTTAAAGGGGTCATATGATGCGATTTAAATTTTTCCTTTCTCTTTGGAGTATTACAAGCTCTTGGTGCATAAAGAAGATCTGTAAAGTTGCAAAGACTAAAGTCTCAAATGGCCCTAAAACGGCTCGTTCTATCGAGCCATGTGTCTACGTCACTATCTGGGAAGATTTGCATAACGCCGGCCAAATGTTCACGCAAAGAAAGAAGGCATAACTTTTATTCTCGCTGTAGTATTGTTGTTGCCGCCACCATGGGCCCGTTCTTCGTACGTTGCTTATTACATTCGAGATGAAATGTCACATCCAAGATGATATCATCGCGCTAATCAAGATCTGGCTAATTCTGTTCTTCGAACGCACCTGTTGTTGATGATCAGTATGGCTGGATTGAGTTATCTGAGATAATTGCGCGTTCATGGGTTGGTTTAAAAGGGGCTATGTATCGATACTCGAAACCATGATCGGCAATGCAGCGATTGGCTGACGGCAAGACAGCAACGTAATGACATCATATAATTAAAAAAAGACACCTGACGTAAAAACTTTACAAATTTCTGAACTTTTATAAGGAAACAGCCAAGCGAACAAAACGACATAAATGTTATAATAGATAAATGAAATGTGTTTTTATTTTATTTACATTTTTTACATGATTCCCAATTATTTATATTCACGATTACTAATTTTTGTACAGGCTTTGCATTTTTATTTCAACGTAGCAATTAGCAATTAATTAAATTTTATATTTGAACAGATTTGTTACGTGACAGCATTAATTCAAGGGCCCTCCAAAAGAGGACGATATCCGCTTCGTCATGCCTGGAGCTGAGGAAATACATCAACTTTGCACTGTGGATCGGCGGATCAGCTTTCACCGTGGACGAAGCGGAGTCCAGCCCGGGGTCGTCACATGTGGTTGCCGCAAGCCCACCCACCGCGCCGTTCTCAAGCTCACCGGTCGCCGCTCACTCTAGCCGGCCGCTGCTAACTCTAGCCCCCGGCCTCTGCTCACTCTAGGCCGTCGTGTGTGACGCTGTGTTTCGTTGTGAAAGCGAAACTACTTCTGTTGAGGAGGGACCCCCTTCCCCCCACATGAAAGCGAAAGAAGTTTGTAAAGTGCTTTGGGTGTACAACAATACACAATAAAGCGCTATATAAATGCATCATTCATTCATTCATTCA